CTTGATTTACAGGGAAGATATGACATTCTGGATTATCTCATATTTCTGAATCACTGGTATTCTCAAAAATAGTAATTTCGTCGATTGTTATAGCAAATATAGGTTTGCCTTATCGACAATTCCAACAGTGAATGTGATATGGAAAATGATTTACATTCATTTAAATTTACATCTGCCCTTTAGCCCAAAGGTACTTGTGGAAATGTGGCGTAGTGTTTAACGTGTCGAGCTTACACACTGCATTTTCATGGTTCGACTCTCGCTTGGGGTGTTGATAAGACATATGCGAGGTCGAAACTGCAGTCCAACCTATATGAGGACACTTTTTGGAAAAGCAAGGCTATGTGAAATTAGATGTAAAATATCAGCTATACGCATATCATTGTGGGATAATTCAAATACCAGTCCTTCACCATCTTAAACGAAATATGGTTAACACAACTCATATTGCTTATTTACTGCTAGTCCCGAGAACCTTATCATTTTTTAAATTATGTTTTGGCATTACTTGTAATAGTTTAATACAAATTTAGTCACCACATGTGGCTTAAAATGGCCCAAAGTTCGATATTAGAGCGCTTCCCACAGGGCTATGAGTTCTTAAGACGGTAATTGAATTCACTTAGTTTTGCCTCCCGAAAGCCACTTAAATCACACTGAGTCATTAAGTTGCCTATTGTCTTAATGAAAAATTAGTATTTATTTTAAGATATTTTTTTTGATAAGCAAAGTTTTGAGTCTATCAATAAATCAGTAATATGAGATGAATTCACCCTATTTCGTTTAAGCTGATGAAGGACTGGTAGGACAATTTTCTCACAATGACATGAGTAGAGTTGACATTTCCATTAAATTTCACATAGCATTACTTCACAAATGGTGTTCTCATCCAGGGTGGACTGCATTACTTATTTTTCGTATATTAGCATGGTAAATAAATCACATATAACTGTTTTACTGGTAGTCTCGAAAATCTGCTTATATACGAAAAAAAGTAATGTGGTTGATTTTTATGGCGAAAATACGTTCATCGAGGGTTCTGCCAAAGAATGGGATATAGAAAAAACCTTGCCTTACGTAAAGTTAACATCTGCCCTGTGGCCTATTGGTAATCATGGCAACGTGGCCAAGTGGTTGACTTGTCGAGATTACATGCTGCATTGTCATGGTTCCACTCCCACTGGGATTGCTGATAAGACCTAGGCGATATCAAAACTGCAGTACGCTCTGGAAGAGAACAACTTTTGGAAAGCAAGGCTATCTTAAATTTAATGCAAACATCAGCTCTACTCATATGATTGCGGGAAAATTCAACTACCAGTCCTTCATCACCTTACACGAAATAGGGTGAATACATCTCATATAATTTTGTATATATATTCACATAGAAAATAAGTAGTGTCGTCGAACGCAAGAAATAAATCTTTACTTTAATTATAAATGAGACATGGGATGGGCCTGGCTAACCTTGCTCTGTCACCTATTAGAACAATGTTAACCAATTTTCACGATTCGTATAATACGCTTTTAAATCCTTTTGGGGATGCTGAAGGGATCTAGGGGAAATCTCTACTACAGTGCACCCTGAATGATAAAATCTATTTGGAGGCAGGATTAAGTGAAATTCTTTAGCATTGTGTATCTAATCCATATTATTTTAGGAATAAACTTGTATTCCTCCCAAAACTTCCTTAATTCAACGAGGGTAACCAAATTCTTACACTAGAACAGGTCAGTCTAAAAGATTTTAAGAATAACTTCAACATTCACAACTGTTGATATAATATTCGTAGAACCTCTTCTACTTCGTTATGTGAATGCAAATATCTAGATAAGTTAAATTAGTACTAATGTATAATGTGGGTGTTATAAAAATCATAATAACTACTTGTATAGAAGTTGTTTGACCTTGATTTTGCAACTTCGTAATATTGGTAGGAAGACCTAGAGAAACGCAACTAGTCTGGAGTACATAGTATCCATGCTAATTTCCAGAGTCCGACCGTGGACGTGGTATATTCACAGATGTTTCGCCAGGATCCTCAGTGAGCGTTGGCAGACTAAGCATCACACCACAACTCGTCAAGGAGATAAGTGAAACCGATCCTTTGGTCAATTTTCTGCTAAGTAATTGCGGTATCTCTCCTTCTACCCTGGGCTATTCATACACCCCTTCACTATCACAATTTATTAATTACTTATTTAAATGTTGTATGGTGTACCAATTTTGAGCTGATCTCATGAGAAAAGGTTGAACAACTTCTATACAACGCAAGAAGACTGCGATCATACAAAGATCACACCATCTTTTTCTTTATACCTTCTTTTACTTACTTGTAATGTGTTTGTAATTTAAAGGGGTGTAGATTAATTGTATGGAAATGAATTTCTTTGGCATCCATAAATAAATTAAGTTTACTATTCATTATTAACACATCGTCAAGACAGCATATTATAGATTTTACTGCATAAGATATTTTATAGAGGCTTAATAAACAGACAATCCTACACTTTTTCACCCATTAATTAGCGTTTCATGCCGGCATTTTCAGTAGCTCGGCTCTTAATATCCAGGGTTAATTTAGGTTACACCACTTGAGAAACAAGCATTCAGTAAATAACACTAAGGAAGGATATTTCTGCCTATACTAAGTTGATTGAGAGGAAAAACTCCAAAGTAAGAGAGACTTTCTTAATTGATCGAGAAGTAGATTTTCTTTTCGGTAGCCAATTTAGTATAATCCTGTTTAAGGCTTTCGGACTTTCGAATATTGGACTAGATTCTTTTATGAGGGTTATATACTAGGTAAGTATATCCTTATTGCATTATGGCCTGACGGGGTCAAAAGGCCGATAGCTGGTTCAAGTTTGATAATTCTTGGGAAGAAATTGATAGTTTATATGTACTGGCTAGACAAAGATAATCTGAAATAAATCGTTATTGTGAGAAAATCCTGCTGAAGAGTCTAGTAAGCATTAATAACTATAAATACATCGAATTGTAACCCTTTCAAGCTTCTTAGGGTTAAATACTGAATCACTGGTAAACAAATTAATAAGAAATTTAGAACAGCATGGCCAATATTTATTGTTTTTTTCAGATGAGCTGCCAACAACTAACGAAATTTAAGATACCAGCAAAGAGCGTCATTGTTGAGACCAATAAATTATTCTACTTTCATACCTAAATTATTAGTCCACAAAGATAAGCTAGAATTTATCTTCGGTTTATTCAAAATATATAAGACACTCCTGTTGTCCTTCAAATTGACGATCTCATCTACTCTTGTGGTATTCGGCTGTTCGTATGTGTATTGGCTGGAATCCCTCTTGGTGAAGCATGTCATTAGCCACCTCTCATTAAGGCAAACACACGATAAATGCACGCTCGCACCCACACCGGTGGCGTACCTCTGGCCCACCATTACCTTTAACCTTTAATTTCCTATCCCATATTCCACAGGTGGAGTCCTCTGGCTAAATTATTGGCCGATTCTAGGTTATATGCAATCGCATTTTATTGACTTCCCTTTGTCCCTCATGAGCCGCTGCTTTGCGATGTCTTTTCCGGTTGGTGAAAATTTGTCCTGGGACTACACGTCTTCTTTTTCACGTCTTCGCTGAAGCTCCAAGTCTGCTTATACAGTACGCGAAATCATCTCTTTTATCATCTCTCGTGCATTAGGTTTCTTTGAAGGAGGATGTCCACTGTATCCCTGTTATTCCGATTTCTTGTGTTCTCCCCACGTAAGGCCAGTCTTTCTTTTGCACTCCAATCAATTATGTGGCCGGTAAGGGTGATGCATTCAGCTATCTCTCACTTTTCTGTATCCATTTTTCTGCATAGTCACTGGCGTTCTTTGATCCTTGTGCTGGATCCTTCTGTTTGGTCACAGTCTCCTTTAGCTTTATAGTTCGTGTTCGAGCTCTTTTTCGCAAATTGTTCGGAGCGTCAGGGAGACATTTTGAAACGTGCCTAGTCCTGTCACCTTTGCCATAGTATTCGTGATTTCGAGCATCGGACTTTTTACTGAGTGCAATGCCAAACGTTTCGCTGGCGTCGAAATCGGTATCGTCAGTGAGGGGCGTCATCGTTAGCGTAGGATCATAACTTATCAAAGTGACAATTGATACCATTCCCCTTGACCAAATATATTTTGATTTAAGCAAAATTTGAGCGTTTAATTATCACGGCTTTTGTTAGTACGACTTCCTTACTCTTATCCAGGAGCTTTGTAAATCCAGGTTAGGCGCAGTCTATCCTAGCAGCTTTATTAGTAATAATGAATATCTTATATTATTAATTATAAAAGACTGGCTGCTAACAAACAGTTATTCAGAGACGCGTGTGTCCTCAGTCCAGCACACGTTAGTACTCCTTCACTGTAACTAGAATTTAAAATTCCCCTGGTCAAAAGTTCTGAGTTATTTTGCTACAGCGCCATAAAAGCAGATATGAAATTCGATGGCGTAAAATATTCGGATGAATTGTCTCAAATGGTTGATTCAAATGGACCAAATTTAAACAACCTACGAACAACATCATTCCTATTGTGAAGATGATTTAAGATAAGGATTAATGAATTATACACTAGTTTATTCAAGTAATTTGGCTCTGTCTGATCTGTGATAATAAGCCTATATTTATCCAAACTACCCACTTTTTATACTGATTCTGAATTCTCGAGGAGCACCTAAGCAAATTACTGCAGAGTGCCGTGAACCAAGAGGAGCAAAAGAGTATATGCACTCCCGCATATTTTTTGATGCGGTCCAAAGTTCGTGTCAATATTCTTAGAGGAAAGACGCCATCATCAATTATCTTGAAAACAAGTTCCAATCCACAAATTGACTTTGTAAATGTGTTAGAACCAATACCCGCAAAGATACAACAAAATAACCTATTTTTAAATTTTGCAGGCGAACAGATCGCTTGCTTGCAAAGCTTAGGTAAATGAAAGAAGTTCATTTACACGGTGGTGGTACAAATGCCTTGCAAAGAACTGGAATCAATTTATTACTGGCGTTCTTTAATTAAAGTAATAGTAAACTCTGTAAAATATATGGCGTCCTTGTGAAATCAACGATGGCTAAAATTGGTTTAAAACGCAATATATATATATATATATATATGGGATTTTTTCACCATATTTCGTTTAGGGTGATAAGGAGACTGGTAATTGGATCTTTCCACAATGATATAAGTAGACATGACCTTCTTTTCAAAAGTTTTCCTCATCTACAGTGGACTGCAGTTTTGACCTTGCCTAGTTCTTGTTAACACCCCAGCGGGACTCGAACTTTGACACTGTGGCGTATAATCTCGACAGGTTAACCAATACGCCATATTGGCATGAGTGCTCTTAAGAGATAGAAAATATGCGAATTTTAACAAAATCCAGGCATTTTCCTATAGCACATCCTGTGATATTCTCGAAAGCCTACTTATAGACGAAAACTAAGTAATCGATTACTATAGCAAATATAACTTTGCTTCATCGACAATCCCACCTTAGAAGGTAATATGGTATATACTTGCCCTTACTTAAAATTCACACATGCCCTTTCGCTCAAAGGCACTCGTGTCAATGGGGCGTAGTGGTTAAATCGTTGAGAGTATACGCGGCAGTATCATGGTTTGAGTCCTGCTCTGGTGATGATAAGATATAGGCAATGTCGAAACTGAAGTCCACTCTGGATGATGACGACTTTTAGGAAAGAAGGGCTTTGTAAAATTAAATGGAAACATCATGTCTACTCATAGCATTGTGGAAAAGTTTAACTACTCGTCTCCTTAAATGTAATAGGATGAATGCATCTCATAAAATTCGGTTACCTATTCAAAAGTCTATCTTTATACAAAGGATATGTCAGCTAATGTGAACCTTAGAATGAATTTCATAAAACTTGTTTATCCCTTAGCAAGATCCTTCACATCTAACACAGCTATTGGGTAAAACGTTTGTTAATCTCTATTTATCTTTATACTGTAGCGTTAATGTATTTTTGGTTCGATTGACATTTAATATGTAGTTAATTTTTAATTTTTTCAATAAATATAAAATGTTTTATTTGAATAACCGAATTAATACTGAATAATGCGAATTCTTATTGCTATCGGATTAGCGAAAGCCCATAAAATGCCATTTTTGCAAACCTTATGGCATATCAACACTATAAGTCAGAGGTTGTTCGACCTATTGGAACGCACCTAGTCCGGGGTCCATTGTCTGCATGATCATTTTCAAAGTTGAACCGTATATGTGGTACATTTTCAAATGTTTCGCCGGAATCGTAGTCGGCATCGTCAGTGGATATTGCAATTCTTAGCACCATACAACATTTCGTCACAGAGACAAGTGAAGCCGAACCTTTGACCAAACGTATGCTAAACAATTATGGTATCTCCCCTTCCACCCTGGGTTATTCGCATTTCCGATTGCCTCCTATCAGGCCTTCACTATTACAATTTTACCGTGTTTATTTAGATAGTGTGGTGTCCTCCTTTGAGCGACATGACACTTTCACTCTCCAACTCTCGTTCTCACACCCCCCATTCTTGTGAAAGGAATGTTGATCAGAGTCTGATTTATTATTATGCAGTCCTCTTTCCTAGTCTTATCCCAGTCTCTCTCTTGCTTCGTAAAATCCGGCTGCTCTACCCCTTGTCCACCTATTTCACTCGACTCCTGACACCACATCTGTCCTACTCGAGGCGTTATTCGCCCTCCCCTGCGTCTGGGTGACTAATTCGATGCGCAATCCTCTGAGTGTCATGGTCACCCCTTTGCTGCATGTACCACGTCTCTGGCACGACAGACCTACCGTCAGCCAACTTGCTCCGGTCCCCGCCTTCTCTATCCTGTTTCTATCCCTAATATCAAGTCTATGATTTGCCATGCCCTAGTCTCTTGTTTGCCAGCCCACAAATGTTTTGGTACAACTTGTTTTGATTTGGTTCAACGTTGAACCGCAACATTTGTGCGTTGGCACACAAAAAGATCGGCTTCACTTGTCTCTGTGACGAAATGTTGTATGGTGCTAAGAATGGCAATATTCACTGACGATGTCGACTACGATGCCGGCGAAACGTTTGGGAATGTACCATGTCCACGGTTCAACTTTGGAAACGATCATGCAGACAACGAACTCCGGACTAGCTATGTTCCTCTAAGCCTTCCTACCGATTTGATCAAGTTGCGAAAACAAGGTCAAACAACTTCTATACAACGAAAGGAGACTGCGACCACACAAAAAGGCCACACTATCTTGGTCTTTATACCTTCGACTATAATTTAGATTTAAACAGTTGTGTTTGACGCATTTGTAGGCTTGTAAATTAATCATATGTCAATAATCTCCTAAATTAGACAAACATATAGAAATGAGTTCAGCTAATTATTGCACCTACACCCTAGCTTCAGGTTTCTGAGAGTCTATGTTATGGGTCAAAGAATTTTTCAACTAAGCCTGACTTCGTAGGCAAGTAGAGCTTTGTATAAACTATTCGAATTTATCTCTATTTGTATCATAAATAAATCACATTCTTTCTCATACTAAATAACAAAGGCTTATATCATTTCAGTCCAAGAAGATTTATCTCATATTTAGCTAATCATTAACACGCATTTGCAAAAGTTGGTTTCTCACAGTCTCAGTCACTTCTAGCATGCATCACGATGACTTTGATGACCTTAATGACAATAGGCCTTCCTTGACTTGCCCCTTTAAGGCATCATTAAAAAAATTCTCTGTAAGAAAGCGAGATTTCACTCTTTTCAGAATTCGTTATTATATACAAAAACCAAGAAATTGTTGGTCAAACATGTCAATCACATTCGCTTTGTGAAAATTTGCTCTACCCGTAGAATTATACCCAGAATTTATATTATTTTTATACCTAATTTACCTGGTAAGACTAAGACCGATCTTTTGGACATATGCCATGATTTAGGGGATATTAAACTTACGGAAAACATTGCAAACTTACATTCCTTAATCGGAACTAAGACTAAAACTTAGCAAATTTTGTCCGATACTCTTAGTTCGGAAGACTTCCTGAAACTCCACAGTATAGCGGATAGTCAACACGATAAGATTTTCCGACAGGTTAGTAAGACACATGATAAGATATTAAAAAAATTAGGTATAAGAATTAGCTCAAGGAAGCCACCCACATCAAATGGATTGAAGTGTAAAGATAGTGGCTGTAGAAAAAGTGGTAAATCTGCCTAAAATTGCATTGGACATTTATACTAAGGAGGTCCTAGCAAAGGGCTTAAACTTTACCTTTTTCAAATGGTACGAACTGCAAAGTGGAAATTTTGGTACAATTGATAAGTTTAACGGATAGTTTCTCAGATGATACACAGGAATGACATTGAACTACAAGTTGTCCCTTTTATTGATGGTCATGTAGAAACACCATATTATAATAGGACAGTTAAGAATATTAGAATGAAGCTTAAGGAGAACGAGCAACTAGTATTAAGTGCAGACAGATAAGGAGCAGTAGTAGTTATGGACAATTATCATTATGTAGAGAAAATGTTAGAGGCATTAGATGATGATACCACATATAAAACTATAATTAGGGACCCGACAGAAGGTCAGAATTAAGATTCCTATGCAAAAATGTGTAAAGAGCGAAGAACTGAAAAAGTGAAAAAACGAATGCACTTTTTCAGCGAGATGCTAGACCCCCAAATGCGTATGGTTTGTCCAAAATCCATAAGCACGGTACTCCAATTAGGATTATTGTAAATAATTGAGGTGGTGTGATGTATATAGCACCACGATTCAAGTGTACACAGTTAGAGTAAATCTCCAAAACTCGGAAGCTTTTGATAAGGAATTCTTACGACTATATTACGTTAATTGATGATCAGATGATAGAAAGAGGCGAATTGCTGATGAGTTTCGATGTATTATCTATGTGCACTAACATTACGATAGACGAGGCAATCAAGGCGCTAGAAAAACCTGTAGATCAACACTCTGAAATCATAACAGGTAAAAAGTTAAGCGAAGTTTCCATCTTTAGATTAGTCAATTTGACAATATATAATACATATTATACCTTCAATGGTACG